AGGATGATCTCTCTATTACAAGATTATTTTGATCACATTTGTAGAGTATTTATTTATTTTTTTAAAATCATATAAGGTGTTATAGTTACAGGTTTTGCCATCAGGACATAAATTTATTTGGGAACCTGTTATTCAACTTCACACAAGGAAGTTACATTTCAGCAAAGTCCACCTTTATAGGATAAAGTCTAAGTTCTTGAATACATGTCAGATAAGTTTTTATGATGTTTGGGAAGGAGAAAGATGGGGGAATAGAAGGACTTGAGCTTATCCCCTCTCTTGAACACACTAAAAATAACATTAATAGCTGAGCAACCATTGACAAAAATGACTGGAATCTATCCCACAAAAGATATTATATATCTAAAGACAAAGAAGAAGTCACAAAGAGATAGCAGAAAGGGTACTTTTCATGATATAATAAAATCCCATACTCACCAGTTTGGTTATCCACAGATTGGAAAATAATTATATTGCAGAGTTTCTCCCACAGGAGTGAGAGTTCTGAGCTCCATGTTAGGCTCCCCAAGCTGGAGGTCTAGCACTGGAAGCAGGAGCCCCCAGAGCATTTGGCTCTGAAGGGTGGTAAGGTTTGAGTGCAAGAGCCCCACAGGACTGGGGGGAACGGAGACTCTACACTTGGAGGGTGCACACAAGGTTTCATTTGCACTGGGACCCATGGCAAAGCAGTGACTCCATAGAAGCCTGGGCCAGATTAACTGTGGGTGTTGGAGTGTTTCCTGGAGAGGTAGGGGTTAGTTTTAGCTCACAGTTGGGGTGAACAGCAGTGGCAGAATCCCCAGGGAATATTCACTGGCATGAGCTCTCCTGGAGGTTGCCATTTCGACACTGAGACCTGGCCTGACTCAGTAGCCTGCAGGTTCCAGTGCTAGGATGCCTCAGGTGGAAACATAGCCCCATCCATCGACAGGCTCCCTACAGTCATCATGAGCCCACAGTTGCTGCCTCTAAACACACCCTGTGACATGGCCCTGCCTACAAAATGCAGCTTCACCCACCAGTGGGTAGGCACCAGAAGCAAAAGGAACTACAATTTTACAGCCTGTGGAACAGATAGCACAAAGATAGGAAGCTAGAAAAAATGAGATGCCAGAGAAATATGTTCCAGATATAGGTACAAGATAAAACCTCAGAACAACTAAGTGAAGTAGAGATAGGCAATCTGCCTGAAAAAGAATTCAGAGCAGTGACATTAAGGATGATCCAAGATCTTGGAGAAAGAATGGAGGCAGACTGACAAGATTATGAGAAATGTTTAACAAAGAGCCAGAAGACTGAAAAAAAGAAAAAAAAAGATGAACAATACAATAAATGAAATGCAAAGTACACTAGAAGGAAGCAATAACAGAATAAATGAGGCACAAGAATGAGTAAGTGAGTTGGAAGACAGATTGGTGGAAATCACTGTAGTGGAACAAAATAAAAGGAAAAAATAGCATGAAGTTTTTATGATGTTCTTCCCAGCAGTATCTCTAGTAACTCCCTGACTCAAATCCATAGCTCAGCAATCTTCACTTGTTCCTATTACCCCAACCTCAAGAACACATTTGCTATTTTTCATCCCCAATGATTTGCCTCTATCTACACTACTCTAACCCTACCATACTCTGTCCCTACATATGTGAACCTTCTGCCTGGAAAAACACTCATGCAAGGTATCACCTCATCTTAGAAATGGTGCCCCTTCCGTTTACTCCAAAAAGATCCTTTGTTTCTATTATGGGCTCCAAAATCACTGCAGACAGTGACTGTAGCCATGAAATTCAAAGATGCTGGCTCCTTGGAAAGAAAGCTATGACAAACTGAGACAGTGTACTAAAAAGCAGAGACATCACTTTTCTAACAAAGATCCATATAGTCAAAGCTGTGGTTTTCCAGTAGTCATGTATGGATGTGAGAGTTGGACCATAAAGAAGGCTACTAATGATGAGAAAGAGTTAGTCGCTCAGTCGTGACTATGACCCCATGAACTGTAGCTTGCCAGGTGTCTTTGTCCACAGAATTGTCCAGGCAAGAATACTGGAGTGGGTAGCCATTCCCTTCTCCAGGGATCCTCCTGACCCAGGGATTGAACCAGGGTCTCCTGCATTGCAGGCAGATACTTTATGGCCAGAGCCACCATGGAAGCCCAAAGACAACTGAGAGCCGAAGAATTGATGCTTTTGAACTGTGGTGCCGGAGAAGACTCTTGAGAGTCCCTTGGACTCTAAGGAGATCAAATCAGTCAATCCTAAAGGAAATCAACTGTGAATATTCATTGGAAGGACTAATGCTAAAGCTGAAGCTCCAAAACTTTGGCTACCTGATGTGAAGAAATGACTCATTGGAAAAGACCCTGATGCTGGGAAAGATTTAAGGCAAAAGAAGAGGGCATGCTATGAGATGGTTACATAGCATCACTGACTCAATGGACATGAATTTGAGTAAACTCCAGGAAATAGTAGAGGAGTGAGGAACCTGGCATGCTGCAGTCCATGGGGTTGCAGAGTTGGACACAACTTATCAACTGAACAGTGACAACAATAGATTTGATCACACATTGTATTAGAACTGTCTACGTGACAGTAGTCTTGCTTTATTAGTAGAAGGCTCCTTGAGAGTACGAAGTGTATCATTCATTTTTTCTAGCATCATCACTCACTCATAGTAGTTGGCACACAGTGAGAGCTTAAGTAACATCAAATAAATGAGTATCACTGAAATTGTTTAAGTATAGTAATTATGAGAGGATGGAGGGAGGGAAAAATTGAAGGAGTTTTATCTTGAGTTGTTAAGTAAGTTTAGTAAAGAGCAGCTTTCTCTGCTGAGCCTTAGAAAAGGAATAGCAGACAGGAAAGATGAGATGAGATATACATGACTCACAGGCAGTGAAGATAACAAGAACCGAAGGCGCAGAAGCTTCAGGGCTGCTCCTCTCAGTTGGGGTGCTTTTGATGTGTGCCTGCTTTGATCCCTGCTGTGTAGCTATGGCCCAGGATGTTCTGGAATGAAGAAAAACTACTTACTGTCTTCTGTTTCCAAATCCAGAGTGTGTTAGAAAAGGAGCACATGGGGAGGGGGCTGGTTTATCTGGTGGCAAAATAAAATCATTTCCCAAAGGTAAATAGTCTCTCCCAATGGTTGAGAGCTGATGCTGAAGAAAAGAGGATGCACAGAGGGGACACTGCTGTGTGCAGAAGAGAAAAGCTGAATGCAACATAAAAGCAGAGACAAAAAAAAAAAAAAAAAAGCAGAGACAGAGACAAGATAAAATAGAAAAATGCAAAAGAACAGCTGCGCACAAGTGAAGTCAGCTAAGCTGTATAATTAGTAAAGGACACAGTGGGACACTGGGTCATACATGGAAGGATTTTGCCAGCCTCTTGGACAACACATGGGAATATAGTTAGTGACATTCCAGCACCTTATAACAAGGAAAAGGACAACACAGCTAACAGATCATGATGGGGGCAGAGGGAGAAATACACTGCTACTTCTCTGTGTATGGGGGGCCAAGTAGAACTCCCATTTGTGTAGCTTATTTTTAAAAGCATAATTTCTATTATAAATTATGCACAAGTAAAATCATTCTAAGTAAAAGCTGGCTTAAAACTCAACATTCAAAAAACTAAGATCATGGCATCTGGTCCCATCACTTCAGGCAAACAGAAGGGGAATAAATAGAAGCAGTGACAGATTTTATTTTCTTAGGTTCCAAAATCACTGCAGATGGTAACTGCAGCCATGAAATTAAAAGACGCTTGCTTCTTGAAAGGAAAGCTATGACAAACCTAGACAGTGTATTAAAAAGCAGAGACACTTTTTTGATGACAAAGTTCCTAATAGTCAAAGCTATGGTTTTTCCAGTAGTCATGGATGGATGTGAGAGCTGGACCATAAGGAAGGCTGAGTGCCAGAGAACTGATGCTTTTGGACTGTGGTGTTGGATAAGACTCTTGAGAGTCCCTTGGACTACAAGGATATCCAACCAGTCTATCCTAAAGGAAATCAGTCCTGAATATTCACTGGAAGGACTGATGTTGAAGCTGAAATGCCAATACTTTGACCACCTGATGTGAAGAGCTGACTCATTTGAAAAGACCCTGATGCTGGGCAAGATTGAAGGCAGGAGAGGAAGGCGATAACAGAGGACTAGATGGTTGGATGGCATCCCCAACTCAATGGACATGAGTTTGAGCAAGCTCAAACTGGTGAAGGACAGGGAAGCCTGAAGTGCTGCAGTCCATGGGGTCACAAAGAATTGGACATGACTGAACAACCATAACAACAACAAATCATTCTTATTAAATTTGAGATGTGGATTCAGTTATTCTCAAAACTACTTTTTTGAAATAGAGCTTTCATTCAGAAATTTTCTAAACTTGTATAATAGTCAGAGTCTCTTGACTGTCTCAGACTAACCTAGTATAAATGTTCAACAAATTTAATCTCCCCAGGTTGGTAAAGAGAGAAAGGAGATACTATGAACTCTCAAAGAAAAGGAGAAAAAGGGTCCAGGTGGAACAAGCTTTGGAGAGTTATTGTTAGAAGAAAAATCAAGTACTATGATGCCATGCATATTAAACGAGTTTAGGGGTAAAAATCTGGGACTGTACCTAAGTAAACTTCTGATGGACTTGATTCAAAAAGGAAGCACTTCCAGAATATGCAATATTTTAGGGTTAATTGCTCCATCTCCACATCTGGGTATTAGATGAAATATATGTGGAGGTCAAAGTCATTATAGTTCTTCTGCTACTGTTGCTGTTTAGTCACTAAGTCGTGTCTGACTCTTTGCGACCCCATGGACCATAGCCCACTAGGTTCCTCTTTCCATGGGATTTCCCAGGCAAGAATACTGGAGTGGGTTGCTATTTCCTTCTCCAGGGGATTTTCCCAACTCAGGGATTGAACCCACGTTTCCTGCTTGGCAGGTGGAATCTTTACCACTGAGCCACGTGGGAAGCCATAGATCTTCTATGAAGGCCTAAGTCATGTGATTTAACATACCCCAAAGCAGAGACTTTATTTCATTCACCAATAGAACAGTTTCTGCACATTGTGGATACTCAACAAACAGTTGATGGAACAAGAATAAGTGTAGAGAAGCTGAAGCACTGAATCTATTAAATTTGTTCTTGTGAATGGGGATAATAACTGAGAAGAAAATCATGATCTTTCAGACCTGTTGAGCTTCTGAGGCTTGGGCTTCTGTGATTTAGTCCTAGGAGAGAATTAATATTAATAGTTACATTGTTTTGAGTTCCATGAATACCAGATACTGAGCTAGACACTTAGATACACTGTTGTTAATCCTCAAAATAACTTTCCAAGTTACATATTATCTGTTTTATAGATGTGTATATAGGCTGTGAAAAAGTTAAACAATGTTCCGAAAGTTACATAGCCATTAAATGGCAAGCAGTAACTCATATCCATATGACTGCTAAATCAATGTATTTTACTTTTATTGCATTTAATATTGTATATATTTTGAAAATTTTATTCCTTGTAGTAAAATTAGTGTATGTTCATTAGAATAAATTCAGAAAAGAGAGAAAGGTTCAGGGGGACAAAGTCAGCCATGATACCTCCATTCTTTTGTAAACATATGGCAATATAATGTTTCTATAAAGTCACTGCAAACACTGAAATAGGAATCCCAAACCTTTGCTCCTAGGGGAATTATAAAGTTAGGTTCCTTCGCGCCTTTGGCCCTAACATTTTCATGAACTGACTAATCTATAACCTTGTTTTATGTATGTTTCTGTTTAAAAATGCATTACTTAATTGCTTTGTTGATTCAATAACATTTAACCGATAGTCAACAGTGCTATAACTTGTGCCTGAATGGAGTTTACCTAACACATCCATTTGCTCATCAGGTACATTACCACCTTGTTATTCTTAGAAACAAAAGGCAGCACTTCAGCACTATACTTGGGGTTCATTTTAAACGGTGAAGTCACCTATCAAAAGCTCCAAAATAAAAACATGGCACTGCATAACTGTAAAAAGGACACTTATTTACAACATGAGAGCTGAAACAAGAAGGTAGAGCCTATTTTGCTCAACCTCAGCTGGAAACATGCATGTCAGGTGATTCAAATATGGTGTTATTCTGGGCATGTCCATGAATGACCATGGAAATTATAGTCTACTATGTAATCACAGAGCTAGCAACTGAATAATCATGTCAGCCTCTGCTTTCCAAGAGGACAGATCTTAGGTAGTTTATTCCATTCTTATCAATTTTGAAGAAAGCTGTCTACAGATTCCCTTGAAAGTATACATTACGATTTTAGAGAAAATTTACTCAATATGAATTACTCAGGTAAGACTTCTCTGTCTTATTTAGAAGCAAAGATTTATAGAGGTGGGGGTGAAGAGAGGGAATTGTCATTCATTTTAATATAAGGATAATCTCAGATATTTTCCTTTTCCAAATATTTATACTAATTAGCATTCAATTTTGGAAAAAGTAATGTTGGACATGATAGAAATTAAAACAGTTTCAGGGGTATACACATTAAAAAAAATAAGACGTCTTCATACTCCCCAAATTCAGCAATCACTGTTTATCATTCCTTATAAATATATTGTAGAAATACTCTATGCAGCTACCAACATATATATCTACATTTAAATTTTATAAAAGACATAAAAATGAAAAGATATACAGGATAGGATAAGTATCCCAAATTCTACTTTATCCAAAAAGGTAATGGTATATTTTATAACTCTTAAATGCACTAGGTACAAAGACAGTAAATGGTCTTGAGATTTTTGTTCTAATTTTAAGGGAAAGGGAACTATTAATATCAATTGGTAGCATATTATATGCACACTTGTGCTAGGCACTTTATACATTTTACGTATTTTGAGGTCTCAAAGATGTCATGAAGGAAGTATTGTTCCCATTTTATAAATTAAAAATACTGCATTTCAGAGAAGTTAAATAATTTCTTTAATATCACACAGCTGATAATACACAATTAGAACCCACTTCCAGGGCATTATTCCAATATCTATGCTCATTTTATATATATATAGTTTACTTCTTATACATTATGCTTAACATTTGAATTATTAATATGGATATGGCAGTTGATTAGCTCAGTGGTTTAAAAATCTCTAATGAGGATCTGTACCTATAAGTTCATCCTTCTTCAGTCTGTGATTAATGCCACTTTGTACTTGACATTATAAAACCATAAATATTCAGTACAGTCAAATCTCTTAGAGAACACCAGACACTAAGAAGAATGGCATCACAGACCTGCAGATGGCACTGCTGCCCACAAGTCATCCAAATCTAACTTACTAATGGGTTTCTTAAAAATATACTCACTTTACAAATTATGTAACACTGATTCCGAAAGTTAAATTTCCACTGTCTGTGACTTTTAAACTATGTAATTCTTCCAATTTATGATTTGATTTTGAAATTTAATTTTCTGTTTACTGACCAATAAGTGCTTAATAGCAACACTTAGTAGCACTACAGCCTAGCAATAAGTGAAATATAAATGAGTGGAGGGGACACACAATGTTAAGATGGGGAAAAGAAAGACTTTGAACTCTTCACTTGAGCATAAAGTAATGCCTGGCAAGTTAGATCACTGAATTGTAAGAAGACAGGTAGAAACTGCTAAAATCTAAAGATGGATGCAGTCTTTAGAATTCCCAAGATATAAATCAGAAAGTTAACAAAAAAATCCATAAATACAAAAGTCTGAGACATTGTACATAATGAATAAGAATGCAGGTCCTTTCACTGTATTTTTAGCTTCATCATGAACTTTTAAGAAAAATTACTGCTAATCTCAGTCAATCATATAAACCTTTGAGGATAAAAAGAGAGCTACTTTATTCTGAGTTGTTGAGAGATAGGATACTCCAAGATTTCATAGGGTTTTATCTGATTGTTAAGATTACAGGCAATTTAAACTTTTCAATTCCAAATTATCTATTAATATGATAGACATTACTTTTTAATAAATCAACAAACAATAAAGCAAATAATATCCCAAGACATCAATTCTCATAACCTCTCTCATATTAACCCAATCCCTTTTCTAGTTTGTTTGTTTTAATGCTAGGGATCCCTTGCAGTGGATATGAGGTGTTCTCCATAGAACCCCTTCTGTGCTGAATCATTCACTTTTCACCAGTCAGGGATATTGGCTGCAGTCCTCTCTAGGAATCATGCTTGACTAGAGGGAACTGCTTCACCCAGGGTTGTACTTCCCAAATCAACCCATATTGATTGACTGGTTTACAGAAAGGTACCTTCCCTGGTGGCTCAGATGGTTAAGAATCTTCCTGTAATGCAGGAGACCCAGGTTCAATCCCTGGGTCAGGAAGATCCTCTGGAGAAGGAAATGGTAGCCCAATCCAGTACTTGCCTGGAGAATCCCATGGACAGAGGAGCCTGGTGGGCTACAGTCCGTGGGGTCACAAAGAGTCAGCCATTACTGAGTGACTAACACTTTCACTTAGATGAAGGTACAAAGGTTCAGTTCCTTTTGTCAATTTGGGACAATTCTGAAGTCCCATCCCAGCTCCAAAGCCTGTTCATTGGATCAGTTGAGGCCTCTGTTACAATTCTGTTGCAGTTCAACCTTTTCTTTTGCCCCATCCTTCCCACTCCCCATCACTTTTGCAAGTATTGCTAAGTGTTGCTCAGTTGTTAAGTCGTGTCTGATGTTTTGCGACCCCCATGGACTGCAGCATGCCAAGCTTCCCTGTCCTTCACTGTCCTCCGGAGTTTGTTCAAATTCATGTCTGTTGGGTCGAGGATGACATCTAATCATCTCATCCTCTGCTGCTCCCTTCTCTTTTTGCCTTCAATCTTTCCCAGCATCAGGGTCTTTTCCAATGAGTGAGCTAAATGTACTACTCAGTAATCTCTGACAAATATTTGTCTCAGTACTGTAATATCGGTAACATGACCAAAGGCAGAACTAAGACTAGTCCTACAAAGCTGACTAAACTAGGATTTTGGATCTGGATCAATCAATGGCTAGCTTGTAATGAAGAGACTATTACTGGTGGTTGATAGCATACTGACAGCCCTTGCCAAAATTTTTACTGGTGGTGAATTTACACCAATTCTTAACCAAGAAAACAAATCTAAAACAGTATCACTTAATTGTTTTCTCATTTACAGTTTTTAAAAATATTATTTAAAAAAAATCTCATTTTTGTTCCTTTGTATAAATTATTTGCTCTGAATACTTTTCCTCTTTATCATTAGTTTTCAGCAACTTGCTTACATGTGCCTTGGTGCGGATTTGTTTTTCTTTTGCTGTGTTACTTGAACTTCTATGGGTTTATGGTCTTTGTTACATTTAGGAAAACTTCAGCCATTATTTTTGGCCAGTAACTTTTACGTTCTCCCTTTTCCTTCCTTCACTTCTAGGCTCTAATTCACACAATTCTGTTTCATATTTTCACAAAGCTCACTGAAACTCTGTTCTTTTTGTTTTTTCAGTTTGCTTCCTTTGTACTTCATTTTGAAAGTGAAAATGAAAGTCACTCAGTTGTGTCTGACTCTTTGCAATCCCATGGACTGTACAGTCCATGGAATTCTCCAGGCCAGAATACTGGAGTGGGTAGCCTTTCCCTTCTCCAGGGGATCTTCCCAACCCAGGGATCGAACCCAGGTCTCCCAAACCCAGGTCTCCCGCATTGCAGGTGGATTCTTAACCAGCTGAGCCACAAGGGAGGCCTAAGAATACTGGAGTGGGTAGCCTATCCCTTCTCCAGAAATCAAACCAGGGTCTCCTGCATTGCAGGCAGATTCTTTACCAACTGAGCTATCAGGGAAGCCCAAAATCATACCTTCCCTTACCAGGAATCAAACCCAGGCCACAGGGGTGAAAGTGCTGAATCCTAGCCACTAGACCACCAGGGAACTTTATTTTGGGTAGTGGATATTGATGTTTCCAAGTTCATGAATCTTTTCTTCTGCTGGGTCTAATTTGCTCTTAATTTTATTACATTTATTTTTCATTTTGGATATTATAGTTTTAATCTCTAGAATTATCTTTCAATCTTTTTTGTATCCTCCATGTCCACCAGTATATTCCTGATTTTCTTTATATCCTAGAAAATATTTATAATGTTTATAATAACTGTTAAAGTGCCTGTTAATTTCATTATCTCTGTTATATCTAGGTACATTTCTACTGATCACTTTTACCTCTGGCTATGGATTATATACTTCTCTGTTTCTTTGCATGTCTGATAATTTTTGATTGGATGCTGGACATTGTAATTTTTACATTGTTAAATGTAGATTTTGTTGTATTTCTTTAAAGTATTGTTCTGGCACACAAAAGTTACTGGAAGAGCAATGTGAAGATTTTGGGGCTTGTTTTTAAGATTTATAGTAGGGTGAATTCATAGCAGTTTTTCTTCTAGTGCTAATCTGGCCCACACTTGAAGCACAACTCTTCTGAAGATGCTACCCAATGCCCCAAGTATTAGAGGTTCTCTATACTTTGACAGATGGGAATATGTATTCCCAGATCTGTGAGGTACTGAGATTGTTTGGTTTACTGCTTTTCAGTCCATTCTTTCCTTGCCCCCCGCACCCTTCTTTTTAAGTACTCAACTGACTTACTTCACCTTGCCTCATGCCAATTAGTACTCAACAAAACCTTTAAACCACTGCAGATCTCTGAAGAGTGTTGTTTTTTTTTTAAAACTTTTTGTCTTCTGTATTTTTTAATAGCTTCCTCAGTCATCCTCTGATCTCTAGCTACTTAATGCACTGAGATGCTGAGCTTTATTTTGGCTGTCCCTCCCTGCACCCTGGCATGGCAACTGCCTGTAAGCAGTAATCTGGAGACAATCATAGGGATTCTCCAGTGGCTCAGCTGGTAAAGAACTCACCTACCAGTGAAGAAGACACAAGAGATACAGGTTCGATCCCTGGGTTGGGAAGATCCACTGGAGAAGGAAATGGCAACTCACTCCAGTATTCTTGCCTGAAAAATTCTATGGACAGAGGTGGATGTGATTATGCACACACACATAGGGCTTACCTCCTTTGTTTTCATTTTCTGAGGAATCAGTCTTTTATTACCTGTAGTTGGTATCTAGTAACAGTTGCTTCATACATTGGGCTGGCCAAAAACCTTGTTTGGGCTTTTCGTAAAATGTTATAGAAAAACTTGAAAGAAAGTTTTGGCCAACTCATTACTTGGTTTTCTAGTTGCTTATGGAAGGGTAAGTTAGAGCAATTAATGATACAAAAGTTGTTTTCATAATGAGCAAAAGTCAAAACTATTTTCAAATGTCTTATACATTCTACATTTCCTCAGTACACATTCTCAGAGGTTTTCTGGAGGTATTAAAAACAGCTATTCTGTGTATTTTTTCCCCTAGTTCTTAGAAAATAAGATTCTTAGTTAATACAAAAGCTAAGTTAATTCTGAGTTAATAAAAGATTCTGTAGTATAAAATTGGTATACTTTATTGTATTTGGAACTGTTAATTTTATTCCAGTGAACTGACTTTATTTCCTTAAATTTAGAGTTTAATGTTAAAACCACAATCCTTCATTTCTCTTCTAGAAGTTTCAACAATAATACCACATGCATACACATATACACACATGTGCTTTACCTTCAAAATCAAAGGGAGTTATATCTGTTGGAGAGGTAACAGGCTGAAAGGATATAAAATTCTGGAACTATTTTTAATTCTTCCAAACATGAGGTAAAAATATCACCACTGATAGAAGAGAACAGAAAATATATTGTGAGATATGAGGACAGAGATTTGGAAGGAAAAGAGTTTTAATCGGCATAAATTTTATTAAATTCAATATAAGAGGAAAGGACCTAGAAATTGAGCTTAGGCTTGCTAAGTTCAAGATTTAAATACATTACATTGCCTCTCTTAATTATCCTTACAACTTGGTTAAGTAGATGTTATTATTCATATTTTATGGATGAGGAAACTCAGAGTTTACACTTTCCAAGGACAGAAAGCTAGTCAGGAGGAAATTCTTTGTACTTTCTACTACTGAGTATAGATTAACTAGATGGTATATGAGAAGAGTGGATCCCTAAATGACAGCAATTACTCTATTTTTCCCCTGATACAATGGTATCTGTCCACACTCCAGTCAAAGGCTAAGGATTCTACTTGTGTAATGTATCCTGTATGTTTTCACATATTCAAGGATTGCTTCTGAAGATATTAATGTTTTCTCATTAATTTTTCTCTTTATAACTAGACCAAATATTTTCAACCAGTATGTACAATCAGAAGCTTTCTTTCATAACTAAAAATAGTTTAATAAGACACACACTACAAACTAGTTTAACAAGAAATTGTTCACAATTTGTTTTGGTTCCTTCCTTTTTGCTCAAAGCAATTGAGAGGACTATATTTTTTCCTACAATCTCTTCTAGTGCTATAATTCTAGGTGTTTCTAGTATTAATTTCTAATATTTATAGAGTGCCTATTTTATGCTAGATACTTTGCTAAACACTTCTCTCATGCATTATTGTATTTAATGCTCACAACATCCTAGCAGACATGTACTCTTATAATCTTTATTATACAGATAAGAGAAAACTGGGATTTAGAGAAGTTAAATAACTTGTCTGTGGTTACATAGTAAATAGCACAATAGGATTCAAATATGACTTCAGAGTTCACATTATTAAAATGTTACATCATGTACTCTTTAACCTCAATTGAATGCACACTAATGGATATGAAAGTTTACTATGTCTTTATAGTATTTATATATTTAATATCAATCAATAAATACAAAATTAAATTGTTACAAAACCCACAGTAGTTTTTATCACAATACACAACATAATTCACACTAGTGCATACCTTTAAACAAGAAATTTTTGAGTCTACAAACACCTTGGGAAGAATTCTAATTTGGTTCAATATTTTTAGCTAAGGTTTCTGGGCAAAAGATATATTATTTTCTGTTCCTATTTTTAATAAAAATATTAATCTCAAATGGAACATTGTCATTTTACTGTATGACATTACACTGAGAAATCAAAACCACCATTGAACAATAGATGTCTATTACATCCCAGTCAGTATATATATCTTTACACTTACCAAATAGGTATCAAATAATCTTCAGAAAAACTTGGAAGAAAAATTGCTTCAAGTTTGTACTGATAGTCAAGCAGAAGTTTGGAGAACCTTCTATCAAGATGACAGGAACTTACACTTGGGATTTTCTTCCATGAAATAATAAAGCCAATGTGATACCAGTTTGACATTTTATTTATACAAAGTATTTAGGGCACTGATTCTCAAAGTTGGCTGAATATTGGATCCACCTGGAAAGCTTAAAAAATATAGAGGCCTATATACTATCCGTTAAAATTTTGATTTAATCAATATAAGGTAGGACCTGAGCATTTTTTAAAACTCTCCTGGTGCTTCTAATATGCGCCAATTAAAAAAACACTAGCTTAAAGAACTGTTTCATCATTAAAAAGGCTAGTTTTCAGTAGGAATGAATCCTCATGACTTGATTTCAGGGGGTGTACTGTTATTTTAAGTATATAATAGGTATATTTTCCTTGATTAGAAAATATTTTAGGGGAAGAGGTTTTCTGTTTTATTCATCATTTTCTTCCCACATCTTAAAAAATGAAAGGCATAAAGAAGTTGCTAAATAAATATCTTTTAAATGAACATATGATTGCTTTCTACTTCTTTCATATCTTTACCTTCTTGTAGATTCATGACAATTAGAATGCAAAAGATATTTACTGGAAAAAAATGAATGACTGAAGCAGTTGGGGTAAACATTAAAGGCAAATCCAAGTCTTATATATACATATTTTAAAAACACATAGATATATAAATAGATCAAAAGTAGAAAAAGAATATATAAGAGTGCAATATTTAGTAGATGAAAATTAATTCATCAAGTTTCCAAATATTCTTCACATTCTTGCACTTAGAAACAAAAGTAATTATAAACAACTAAAACAACTAGTTCTTTAAGTAACATCCATAAGCATGTGCAGATAAGTTTTTTTTTTTAAACAGAATTACAGCTTAATCTTGATGAGCAAATGTCAAGTTTTCAAAATTCAAGTAATACAGTTTTAGCACACATCATGATAACTTTTCCAGATAGCTGTATAAAAAACAAAAGATCATTTCCGCTTAAAATACCTGGTATCACCTACAGTTATTTGCTCTCAGTTAAGATCTACTAGTTTCTTAGCAGCTTCACATTGATAAAAACTATTTGGCACCTCCTTTTATAATGTTTTATTAAAAAAAAAAAAGAACCTAGAGCGAGGTGGGAGGGGGGATCGGGATGGGGAATACATGCAAATCCATGGCCGACCCACGCCAATGTACGGCAAAAACCACTACAATACTGTAAAGTAACCAGCCTCCAACCAATAAAAATAAATGGAAAAAAAAACCTTATTAATAAATAGACTTCCTTTTTAGTACCTCAATTTTTACATATGGCTTCACTTACCAAAGTTCTAGAAGTATTACATAATTTTCAATTCAATTAGTATCTTAAACTACGAAACTTTGGTTTTTTTAAAAATAGCATTGGTTGCTTGATTGTAGGTTTGTCACCGAAAAGTGCTGCTTCACTTTCAGAGGTTGGAAATCTTTTCTGATATATTAAGGGATATTCCTTCTGAAACTTAAAAATGGGGTGAAGAATTAGAAGATATTTAACATTATTATCTAAGCTGAAGCCACTGGTCAAGATTTTATAAGGATTTAGTGCTTTTCTCAAACATGTATTTGATGAGTATCCTTTTACTTTATCCTTGCTTCTCCCTCCACTTTCTCACATATGAAAGGTATCTTGTAATATTTCTTGGAGCCCAGTTAGCATTAATTTTGTAGAATTCTCCTCTGGTATTAATTCTCCTAAATTCCAGATGTTCTTTCTTCTCATTGGTAACACCATGAAGGTCACTGGGATCTAGTTAGTATATTTCATATTTCTTCGAGTGTCTCAGATCTGGAATTGGACATGCTAGAATCATGTGGCTACATTGATATAGAGCTAAAAATTCTAAATGGAAATGATGAGTCACTAAAATTTATATATTATAACCTAAAGTTTATAATCATTGTCCTAAGGTAATCCATGTTATAAATACAAACTACTCAACATAAAGGAGAGTATATGTTATTATTGTTATTAATTTCAGGACAGAGTAAAACCAAGCAGGTAGAAATACATAGGTGTTATATATATATGATATTTAAAATTCAAAATATTAAAATAAGAAATTAGATTCTAAATGCTTTTAAATAACAAACAGCAATAGCATATTAGAAAATATTTATGATTAGGAAATTATTCAATCTCTTACCTGTTTTAGTTTTCTCCTTTTCTCCTTTAGAGGCAAACTCTTATTTTTAATAATATTCTCTAAAAGTTCTGCAATTGCAGCTTGAGAGGTAGAAACTTTCTGCTCATCAAACTCCTGAGCACTGATCTGCTTACAGTATGAATACGTTGGCAAAGGAGCAATCACTCCATCTCCAGGATTTTTAATCTGTAGAGAACAAATGATACAGTCAAACCTATTAATTCAGGTCATGTTCCTATTTGGTAATGATTCTTTCAGTGGAATTTTGTTCATATTATTTTGCTACCAAACATTCAACACTTTAAGAAAACTGTATTATGCAGCAGAGAAGTAGTAAGTCAGTAGGGTCTCACTCCCAGTCCTACAACCTACTACAGCTTTATAACCATCAGCAAGTTATTTAAACTTGTCTTGATTTGTTTCAACCATAAAATGGGATGTACACAAGATATTAATAATGTAAAACCATCATTAGTACTATTAACCATAGATTTTATCCTTTTAACTATGAAATAGTAACAATCAACATGATATTTTAATTCATCTTAAAACACGAATGTTTTGAAAGAGTAAAAGTGTTCATCTACGAGTTTTGAGGTGTAAGAATATGGGCAGGGCCTCTAACATCTGTAGACAAGAGAAAGAAATTGTAGGGGATAGTTATAATTATGGTAAGTCAGGGCAACATTAGAATGGTATGCATAGGAAGAAATATGAGTATATATGCTGGACAGTCAAAGACTGAATAGAACAGGTGGTTGTTTTTGGCTGCTTAGATTCCTTTTTTCCTTCCCATTCCACCCCCAACTATCCTTACCTTTTTTTGAATAACAGATTATTCTCTAATCTATGTAGAGTCACTCAGAGTATGGCCCTCTCTCCAAGTCACTCACCCTCAACCACTTAAAAAATGTGAATTTAACCTAGATTGGGCCAATATGAGTCCATACCAGTAACTTTTCAAATCAAAGGTGAAGGAATGGCTCTTTTCCCCCCATGGAATGCAAAGAGCCTTAATGGACCATAGGGCTTCCCTCATAGCTCACTTGATAAAGAATCTGGTTTGATTCCTGGGCCAGGAAGTTCCACTGGAGAAGGGATAGGCTACCCACTCCAGTATTCTTGGGCTTCACTTGTAGCTCAGCTGGTACAGAATCCGCCTGCAATGTGGGAGACCTGGGTTTGATCCCTGGTTTGGGAAGATCCCCTGGAGAAGGGAAAGGCTACCTGCTCCAGTATTCTGGCCTGGAGAATTCCGTGGACTGTATAGTCCATGGGGTCACAAAGAGTCAGACACGACTGAGTGACTTTCACTTTAATCAACCATATCCCATCATGTGAAGGAGCCAGTTTTCAACTATAGGACTGAAATGGAAATAAGGGATGAAGGGATGGAAAAGAGTCCTCTGACTATTTGAATCTCCATATTCTGTCTATATTCCTGACTTTTGGAGGTTATTTACGTGAGCTGAAATAGTCTCCCTTTTTGATAAGGTTAGTTTGAGATGAGTTTGCCACTTGCAGTAGACTAATATAAAGAATTTTAAGATTTACAATACATACATGGCCCTTTCTTAAGTAGTCAAGATGTTTCTCTACTGCAGCCTGTAGGTAAGAAGGCACTTGAAGAATTTCCTGTTGATGATCCATCAAGAAAGATACTAATCTTGCAGCAAGAAGCTCATCAAGATCTACTTCTTCAGCACAGCGTAATACACTCCGAGAAAAAGTGTGTATCATCTAGAAACATAATAAAAGAGGTGAATTTAAAAGCTTAAGGTTTTATATAAATTAGAGTATCAGTAAATTCTAGGTAGCATTATGCTAACAGATTGAGATAAAGTGATAAGCCAACTTCAGCTTAAAAAATGAGGACAATAACATAACATTAGGAAGAATAAAATGCCAATTTTNACTTTGTGTGCCAGTCAACATAGAAGAAGCTGGAGGTAAAGAGTTTTCTGAAAGTTCTATTGTGCTTTTGCAGAGTCTTTTATTGATTGTGGTACTAGACTCTCCGAGTTCACCTTCCATAGCTGTTTGCACACTGGTACTGCCTTGTCCAAGATTTGGTTTCATGATAATTTCAGCCACTGGTATATTAATATAACTATTCCTTCTTGTACTACTTCTTAAAAGTAAACTCTGAGATCTACAAAGCTGTTTTGGTTTGCACTTTCCATTATATAACTTCTCTTGGTCTTGAATGGTCAAAGTGGAGGTTCTCTTATAACCAACAGAGAATGGCTTTTGAATACTTTCCTCTGAATGAAGATTCATCAGGGATTCCTGTTTGGTCTCAGACTCTAAAGATTGCTTATTATTTTGTCCTTCTATGTTCAGAACAGATTGATGGAAGACACTGGAGACCTCTTTACTTGAACTCCCTGGTAAATCTACAATTCCTTCTAATGAATAGCACCTTGGTTTGATGTTAGAGGATAGAACATGCATTCTACGTAAGCCTACTAAATTATGACAACTTCCTCCCATTATGTCATTAGCACTGTCTCTTCTGTTTTTTAAATGAACTAGCTGCATTTTCTTAGCATATTTTTCTTGAAATCCTTGATCACTTATCTGCAGTCTCTCAGTAGTATCTGATTCTTCTTTTGTTTTGTCTTTATGAAGAAGACTGAGAAGAAGACACTCAGTTGATTTGAAGGAATTCAGATTGTTTAAATGAAGAATTTTTGAAGACTGTGGATCATCTTGGATTTTATGTATCCCACTGGGTCTATCTGAAACTGTGACGTAGCCACAAACAACACCATCAAGAAAGATACTAATCTTGCAGCAAGAAGCTCATCAAGATCTACTTCTTCAGCACAGCGTAATACACTCCGAGAAAAAGTGTGTATCATCTAGAAACATAATAAAAGAGGTGAATTTAAAAGCTTAAGGTTTTATATAAATTAGAGTATCAGTAAATTCTAGGTAGCATTATGCTAACAGATTGAGATAAAGTGATAAGCCAACTTCAGCTTAAAAAATGAGGACAATAACATAACATTAGGAAGAATAAAATGCCAATTTTTTTTTGTTTTAGTACTTATTAAGTATTTCCTTAATATAAATCCCAAATGATTACAGAAGACTTAGCTTTTTAACTTTGTTACAATTTTATTAGTAAATACACAGATTCCATTAATACCATATAAATATGGCGCCCCTGAGTCGGGAAGTTCTCTCCTGGAGAAGTTCTCCTATCCCAGGAAGGGATAGGCTACCGACTCCAGTATTCTTGGGTTTGCCTGGTGGCTCAGATGGTAAAGAATGTGCCTGCAATGTGGGACACCTGGGTTTGGAAGATCCCTTGGAGGAGGGCATGGCAACCCACTCCAGTATTCTTGCCTGGAGAATCGCCTTGGACAGAGGAGCCTGGCAAGTTAATAGTCCCCAGGGTTGTAAAGAGTCAGACACAACTAAGCATAGCACAGCACACACTGTGAGAGAAGAGTGACTTATTAAACTAATCCCACAAAAACACCAATAGGAGAATATATAACATAAACACATGTGGTTACAAGGTTGGCACCATGTATCTTTTGAAACTGGAAAATAGTTTTTAATGCTATTCCATCAGTCTTTAAAGACAATGTATATATTTTTCAGTTCCATCATGATGATCTTCAAATTCTGGGATAAATTTTGGGTTTCAAAACTAATTTACTCTCATTTATATCCATATAAGCCACCAAATATAAGACACATACATGCATGCACCCTTGCACACACTATTTTCCACTTTCAAAAGATATATGGTGCCAACCTTGTAACCACGTGTGTTTATATGTTATATATTCACCTATTTGTGTTTTTGTGGGATTAATTTAATAAGGCACACATAAACACACACTTCATTCTAAAATAATTTGAATACAGAATTGTATTTTAGGCATTGTGCACATAATAGATGCTGAGCATATTTATTGAATTATTTTTGGTTTTATTTCTACATGTCTGGCAGGTTTTTCCTATCTTCTTCTAAGGTTCAGTCCTCAGATTTTTATTCTTTTCCTCAGCTTTGTAGAGCTCATTTACTCCCATACCTTCAACTACCACTTTTCAAAATATGTACCTTCAGCCCTGATCTGTTTTTACCAGGCTCATGTTTCCGACACTCTGTAGGATAAATTTCACTTGGATGTCCTATAACCTAACTGAAAAAGTGTAAAATCAAAATTATCTTCTTTCTATTCATATCTCTCTAGATATCTTACCCTACAAACTTCCCTATGCTTTTTAGTGGTGCCACAAGCACTTGAGAGTAATTCTTTCTCTTTATGTTAGGTCTGTTATTAAATAAGTGTCCTTACTGAGTGAAAGAATAGAACTTAGCTCCTGATTCCTTGCTACAAGAACATCCTATAAATCAAAGCTGTGCTCTGAGGAAGTGACAGTACTTTATAGACAGAGAGAGAGAGAAAGAGAGAAACAGGGAGAGACATATTAGAGGTACAATTTCAAGAGTTCATTTCCAATGGGGATCTGTATATGAATGCCTCATCCCTCATCTTCATATGGAACACGAGACTATTTCACAGAAGTTCTCCCAACTTCCTGCCTACAGTGACAAGCCATCCCAATTCACATAATACATCAAATATAACTTTTCCACTCCCAGAGTATCTGAAACACTCTGACTTACTACACATGAATTTCCCATTAATTCTCTATTTCAAGGGTTACAGTGCCCTTCAGCTTTCAGTAGTGCCTATATCTCCTCTTCTTTCCCCACCAAACAGAATTGGCATGAGGCGATATAATGTGGTTTGACAGCCTGACTCATTCCAACATAGAATGAATGAAGAGGCAAAGTCCTCAGACAATACAAAGATCAAGATGTGAAAGTATAAAAGACTGGGCATAAAGGATTAATGTGCATTCTGCTGCACAGTAGGGAAGGTTAGACTTTCAAGTCTTTTAAACTCAAGAATCTAGGATTTCAAGACCATGACATCACTTGAATAGTATTCTTAGTTTGTTTGTTTTTTTTCTTTTTTTTTCTGCTGGGGGTGGGGGGATGGTGGTGGTGGTGGTTTGTGATTCAGACTTACTCTTTCCTTAAGAAATCAACTTACCAGTGATCTTGTACCCATTGCATCATGAAGTTGGGGCATGTCAACATTTTGACTCATTCGAGAAATCATGCGCATTAAAAGTTGAAGCTTTCTACGATTTGGTGGGGGAAGTAACAAACAACATAACTGCAGTGCATCGACGGCAACCCTCTCTAAATGAGGTTGCAGCAAACCTAGGAAAGCAAAGTCAGCCCCCAGAAAAAAAAGAATCATCAATGACACTAGTCGTTTTAATACCACAGCATATAGTTATATAAGGAAGGCAAAATAATATTTTAATATTTTGTTTCTTTTAACTATTCCATGAAATTTACACATTCTTCAAAAACATGGTTAGATTCTCATTATTTTCTTCATAACCCATTGGATTATGAGGGACTGAAAATCTTTCACCAGTTATAAACAGTGACTCAGAATAAATGAAATTTAAGGCAAAGAAAAGGAGTGCTTTAGGTAAGTAGAATAAATCTTGGTTATGCCATGAAAAGTCTTCTACAACAAGAAATTTTTCCTTTGGAGAAAAAAATTAAGCAATTTCAGAGAAGAAAAGCCAGGTAAGCAAAACAGAGTTAGTAAACACTAAAAATTAATATTACATGCATTGAAAGCATCAACCTTACTTTGTGTGCCAGTCAACATAGAAGAAGCTGGAGGTAAAGAGTTTTCTGAAAGTTCTATTGTGCTTTTGCAGAGTCTTTTATTGATTGTGGTACATTGTTTAAATGAAGAATTTTTGAAGACTGTGGATCATCTTGGATTTTATGTATCCCACTGGGTCTATCTGAAACTGTGACGTAGCCACAAACAACTACCAGGAAATGAAACAAAAATTAAGATGCAACTGTATGATAGTGGACAAAAATAAAACAAAAACAACAGTAATATTAAAAAAAATAAAGCATCACTATAGTACATATTGTTAGTATAGTACAAATAGCAGCTGCTTAATTCAGAAGCCACTTGAATAGGACACATGCAACATTCAGTTACAAAGTGCAAGACTAGAGGTTTTCCAACTTGTGAGGAAAATAACTTGAAAATTTATTTCAACAATCTAATTAAATGGATTGAGTCAAATACATTCAAAAATAATTTTCAGTCTACAAGTATTAGAAAGCTCTTAATTGTAAGACAACTGTAGTTTAAGAAAACATATATATGATTTTTCTCTCAGGTACCTGGTACATAGCTCCTAAAACCCAAGGAATTTCAAGAGTGATTGGAGCCTTTTATTCTGCACAATGAACCTATCTGAGCACGCTTCAGTTTAAGCTAATGAGTTGACTTAGGGCTGGCCTGAGTAAAGTTGAGTAAAGAATCTACCTGCAATGCAGGAGACCAGGGTTCGATTCCTAGGTTGGGAAGATCCCCTGGAGAAGGAAATGGCAACCCACTCCAGTATTCTTGCCAGGAGAACCCCATGGAAAGAGAAGTCTGGCAGGCTACGGTCTACGGGGTTGCAAGAGTTGGACACAACTTACCTACTAAACCACCACCAGTGCTGCCCTTGCTTAGAAGGGTGGAATTTTAGTCCTACCTCAAGGAGACCTGGGTTTGATCCCTGGGTTGGGAAGATTCCCTGGAGAAGGGGATGGCTACCCACTCCAGTATCCTGGCCTGGAGAATTCCATGGATGTATAGTTCATGGGGTCACAAAGAGTTGGACATGACTGAGTGACTTTCACTTCACTTGACTCTGGAGTTTCCCAGGTGGCACTAAGTGGTAAAGAACCCACCTGACAATGTAGGAGACTTAAGAGACATGGTTTCAATCCCTGGGTCGGGAACATTCCCTGGAGAAGGGCGTGGCAACTCACTCCAGTATTCTTGCCTGGAGAATCCCATGGACAGAGGAGCTGGGCAGGCTAAAGCCCATAGTGTCACAAAGAGTCAGACATGACTGAAGTGACTTAGCATGCATACACGCATACCTCCCTGGAGCGGGTGGTAGGGTGGTTGGTGGTGGTGGTGGAGATCAAACTTAATCAACAATGACCTGTGATTTAACCAACCATGTCTATGTAGTGAAACCTCAAATCAAAATGGAAATAACACAGCTATGGGAGCTTACCAGTTGGTAAATACATGGACAAACTTGGGAGAGTAACATTCCTGAAGAGAACATAGAAGCTCTGCACAGCCCTTACCCCTATTTCTTGCCCTATATCTCTCTTTCACTTGGCAACTCCTGACTTATATACTTAATAATAAACTGGTGATCATTATGTAAAGCACTTTCCAGAGTTCTGAAAACCATTACAATGAATTATTAAACCTCAGGGGGGTTATGGGAATCCCTGGGTTTGGTAATTAGCCAGGGACAAGGGCTATTAAATCTGAGGACCCATTTGCAGCTCCTGTATGAAGTGAGGACAGTCTTGATGAACTGAGCCCTTAATATGCAGGGTCTAAGCTAGTCTTGGGTAGTTAGTATCCAAGTTGAAAAACTTTGCCCTCAACTTTTGGGGTCTGGGTTAACTCTGGGTAGTGTCAGAAATGAACTAAATTGCAAGACGTGATTGATGTAGAGAATTGGTGTTAGAATGGTATATTTGAATGACTGGAAAACATAAAAGCAACCAGAATATTTCTGAGTTTTAAAATAATTTATAGCCTGTCACTTTCATACTTATCTATACTTTTAGATTTTTTAAATTATGGGGGACTTGGAAACCAGTAAAATAAATCTAAATAATAAGGAAAAATCTATACATACCCAAAATGTTCACAAATAATTCATAATATTCAAAGGTAAGTAGAGGTTCAGGGAGATCTAGAAAATAATCTGCAATTGTTCTGAATACATCTCGCTCAAATCCAATATAAGTTGGATTATTCATGTCATTACTTCTTGGCCCTAAGTGGAAAGCAAAAAAAATGGTGAAATATATTTCTTTTAAATATAATTTTTAAAGATACTTATAAAAAGCCTAAAGCCTGTATTTATTTCATGAAGGATCTATGCTTAACAACAAATTCTGTCATAATTCAAAAATTTAAAAGGTTGTGCATATCTCATGCCTTCTCACTATCTTTTCACTAGAAATCACTGCAATTATTAATATTTTGTTTAGTTTTAATATGTATATGACTGAAAAATTTGAAATACATTTTAAAAGCATCGGGGAAGTTTATTTTAATTGAATTTTATCACAAATTCATTTTATACATCACAGGATATTTAGATATTGCAAATAATTCTTTCAAATTGTCTTTTGCAAATTTATATTTTCATGATTAAATTTTGCCTGATATAAAGCATACTCTGAATGAATTTAAATAATATCATTACATTGCTGTTCAATTAGCTTAACATTATTGAAATAATTATGCCTACTTACTGGTATTTTCCTCAGGAAATTCTGATCTCATGTTATAGATGAGGAAACTGAAGCTCACAGCCACTCGCTCAAGATGCAAGAGCCTTTGATGGCAAAGTTAAAATTAGAACTCAGAGCTCTGTAAGAGCAAGTCATAGGACCTTGAGACTCAACAGCATTTAAAGTACGGTCCATGGACTACATAATTAGAAACATCAATGTGCCTATTAAAAGTATAATCTCTTCTATACAGTACAGAATCTATCATAATTCCTATGCTTCTAGGAATTATTGATCTAGAAATTTTTGTTGTTGGTTCACTAATTTAGTATCTTCCAAATACTGATCTGGGCATCTTCACCATAAGACTCTTCTAAGATACGATTCAAAAAAAAATCCTGACATAGTCAATCAGTTGAACCTGAATTTTTGGTATCTCTAGTGACTGTGATATGCACTAAGATTTGAGAGTTACCCTACTATCTTTCAAGGTAACACACACATCAACACACTTAATAGTTTAAAGGCTAATGAGGGCTTTATGTGGAACAAAACAGACAATTTTTATAAGGAGGATATGAGATATATTCTTAATATGTAGAATAAAAATTTTGATAATCATTAAAAGTTTTCTAAGATAGAAAATTCCTGACTGGAATTAAACATATAAAATTTACAGTTAGAGAATCTACGTTTGAATATATAGCTCCTCATGCATTAGAAAAAAGTCCTAAGTTTTCTTTTCTAGAAAAAAATTGGGAGTAGTATATTGATCACTGATTCTTGTATGTCACAGGATTACTGTGGGGGAATAAATAACAAACATGTTAAATGAAAGTCTTAATATCGCCTCTGGCCAGACATATTATTGCTAAACTGAAATCCAGTAAGTTATATCTTTGGTATCATTTATGCATAACATGGACTGGGAAGCAAAAGAAACAAACCTTAAAGATGAGCTATCTGAGAAATCCCTGGAAGTATGCTATCTGAGTTGCTAACTATGAGGCAAGGTATGAGAGAGAAAGGCAGGTAGGTAGGGGAAGGTAGAAAGAATTTAAAAAATCTTATGTTTCTATTCAAGATCTTTACCTTGATTTGATAAATAAAATTTTTCTGTATCTAGTATTATTTACTTTATTGCTATTCTGTTATTTTGTCATATTGACACCCAGTGGACAATAAGGGAATATATACTTATTTTAAACATTAATAAAATACAAATTTTATAAGACCTAGAAAATTACTTCTGTAATATAATTATTAAAATATAATTTTACTTTTGATGATTAAGAAGCACACACCTCTGCATACATTTTTAAAATTGACTTTTGAGAGCAATTAGTGTTTTGTACTTGAACAGGGCCTTAAATTATAAAAATCAATAATCATTGACCAGTATGGAAAAAGCTTGAAGAACAAAACATTAAAAAATGATCTAATTTAGTGAAGATCATTCTTTTTGATAAACATAAAAGCCCCATTAATATATCCTATGGAGAAGAAGCATATCATGAAACATCTGAATGCTGAAGCTGTATACAATGGCAAGGGGAATGAAGTGTGTTTTATGAGACTTTATTTCTGATTGAAACTTTATACTTACAAGCTACTTTATTTGTAAGTTGCTACTTGAACTCCCTGGACTCATGAGACAATTGATGTAGATTATACCTAAAAATCCTTTGAGATCTTCTAGCTTATGATTTTATAATCTATGAGAACTGAGTCATAAATGATTAGCTTGTATTATAAAATCATTATCTGCACAAAGTTAAGTGCTCTATAACACAATCCACATGCAATGAAATGTAATCAGTTTTACTAGATCTTCATTTAAACACCAACAGAAATGATATAGTTCAATTTTATCATGACTTTCACGAATTAGAATCCCTTGGTTTTTATTAAAAACTATCAATATAATACACATACATATCACACATATACCATTTGTTTACTTACAATTTGCTAGGCACTTCATGGCAGATAGCACCCAGTGAGGAAGATCATCTACACAAAAAATTAATATCATTTAATTAAACAATTATTTTAACAATATATTAAAAACTTCACACTTGCTATATAATTATACATATATTTATATATATATATACATACTACCAGAATTAAAATTGATTACATATAGGGCCATATAGTATTTTAAAATGCAAGTTTAAAAGTTAGCTATGCTTCTTGAATATTACTGATTTGAGTGAGACATGATAGAAATAAGCTATATTTTAATATTTTATTTTATAAAATATAAACATACAAATATATATGAACAAATATATATAAACATACAAAATATAATATTAAAATATTATATTTTAATATTAAGGTGATTTCAAAGCAAGGCTTGCTTAAAATCTCTCAGTTGCCACTAAGTGAAATATGATGCATAAGTGTTGCGGTTTTTTGACACAAACACAAAAACCACACATACATTTCACTTGAAAAGTTAATAGTCATAAAGAATAGAAAGCTTAGATGAGAGCATACACTCAAGTTATTTCAGGTAACGAAAGATGGGACTGATCCAAAGCTGCATGCATATACAACATAGCTCCTGGTTTTCAACATTTACTTTTTGTTCTTATGGTTAAAATCTCAAAAGTTCCTGCCCACAGAAAGAAAATCAAAGTAATGCATGTCAGTTAATTCTACAGCCAGCAACTGCTTATTAGAAAAAAAAAAAAAAACAAGAGCCAACATTTTGAGTAAATTTATTCATACACTTCCTGTAATGTAAATTTTCCACTGCAACTGGCTTGATTTCCCTGATTTTCTTTAAATCTGAAACCAATACATTATATAAAATACATACAATATAAAGCCAGTATTCTTTTAAATACTGTTCTTAAATTTGGACTTATTTTATTGTGTGTTACTTTGGTTTTGCATGTGCCTTGACCTGTTTAAATATGTATGTAACTTCTCATTTAAGCTCCAAAAAGGAATGGACCATTTTTCTCTTAATCATCTAATCTTTAGCACAATGCCCAGCACATTGTAGGTCCTCAATAAAATCTGATTAAACAATAGTTTCAATTATATTTGCATACTCTTTGGATGCTTCCTCTTCCATTAAAAAAAAAATTCATGCAAGAATCCACCTTTAGAGCTAAAACAATAGTGTTAATAATATTCATTTAAAAATTATTTCACCATGATTACCAAAGCACCTCTGATAAAACAGTAGTCTCCCTAATGTATATACTTTATATATTTTGGTCTTTCTTTATCCTCACTATAGCTGCAGCCTTTTTTTAGCAAGTTTAAAATGATTCCAACTTCTTTTATTGATACCAACCTGATTTGTCTTGCAGTATAACTACTCCATGTTTACTTGTATTGGTCATGTTGTACATTATATACTGAGGCATAACTTGTTTGGGATTTATGACTTCTTCTAGGGAGGATACACCTAGAATGGTTTGCAGGCTAAATAGAAGAAAGAATACAAGCTTTTTTTTCTCCATAAAATAGGTGGAACAGAAATATGAGAGTATGAATAGAAAACAGACAAAGCTTTCAGAATATTTTTCTTAAATCAAACCTCTAAGGCTTATATTTAGTATCTACTTTAAAGTATATTTATCTTTATAACCTTTGAAGGATTCCAACATAGACCCCAAACTATAGCTACAACTTTGAGTCAAAGAAAAAGCAAATCATAGTCAAACCATTCTACTTCTACTGTACCAGAACAATAAATACAAGAGTATTTATTAAGAAACACATATATAGGCAAAATTCTAAGCTTTGAGAATTAATCTGCTCTTCTTCAACTGAGCATCTTGATGAAAATAACAAAATAACATTCTAAACACCCCAGGAACTTGGTTATAGCTTAGTTTTAGCTTACTAGATCAGAATAACATATCTCCAAACTTCTTCAACATCTTTCTGGCTTATTTCTCTGTTATCTGCTAAATTTTCTTGATCTTCATCGATTATTTCACAGTTCATTTTCTCTGCATTTTCCTGAGAGAAATGTAGTCCATGTTTTTTAGGAGTTCTTCGAGATAAGTTTCGCAATTTAAAAATACTATCTTTATCTTTGGAAAAATTCTCTATGCTGTTTTTTCTCAATTCTGGATGCCTTCGTGGAAGAGTTTTAAGTGGAGAACTTGAAGGAAATCTGGTTTAAGAATATGCAATTAAATAATGTGAGATAATGAACTTTTAGTGCCTATTTATCTTTTGAATTGTGGTTCTGGGAGAAGACTCTTTAGAGTCCCTTGGACTGCAAGGATATCAAAAAAGTCAATCCTAAAGAAAACCAACCCTGAATATTCACTGGAAGGACTAATGCTGAAGCTGAAGCTCCAATACTTTGGCCACCTGATGCGAAGAGCTGATTCATTGGAAAAGACCCTGATGCTGGGAAAGATTGAGGGTGGGTGGGGGGGGGCGAGTGAGACAGAAGATGAGATAGTTGGATAGCATCACTAACTCAGTGGACATGAGCTTGAGCAAAATCTGGGAGACAGTGAAGGACAGGGAAGCCTGGCATGCTGCAGTTCATGGGTTGCACAGAGTTGGACATGACTTAGCAACTGACCAACAAAAATCTTAAAAATAACTCAAAAACACTGGATTTAATTTATCAAGGAATGAATATTCCACATAAATTAATTTTCTCATTAAGCCTTTAAATTTTTTTTAATAGTTTCCTGATATCATGAGTAAACTGTATATTTTAACTTTATTCCTGTATAATTCACAGTTACTATTAGGACTAATTCTTTTGGAGAGGTACATACAAAACAGTTCTAGAAAGTTACATTTTCTAAATTTCTCTTATTAGTTATCTAATTTGTACATATTTTCTGCCCCTTGTGATTGTTCAATTTTCAGAACTCTGTTGCTCCTATTGATTATAATGCTTTTCCTCCCTTCAATTTAATATAAAATATTTCAAAGATACAAACAAGTACAGGGTGTTTTTATAAAATAACATCCACATAGGCGACTATCAGCAAATGCAACTATTAGCATTTTAACAAGACTTCTTAAACCAATTCATAGTTTTATTATCACTGTAAAAGGCCTAGAGGTAGAAAGATTAAGAGTTTTGCAGAATTTCAGGTAGGAGAGAACAATAGTCTAATAAAAAAAAATCATGAAGACAAGCAGACAGATCAGAGAGTACTGAGGCAGCATGATATACACAGTTTGATAATTACATTATATTTAAAGAGGAGAAGGAAAAGAATGAAAGCAACTACAGGAAAGATTGCCATTCATTCAGATATGGATATAAGAGGTCAAAAGTTAGCTTAGGAGATGGTAGTGATTTTTCATATGCTATATGATATGTGAAGTGCCTGTTTAACAGGCAAAAAGGGAGCCCTAAAGCTCAGGAGTGATATTTGGGTTGGAGGCATGAAAGTCATTAAGATGTGGCATGAAAGCAGAGACAGAGTAGGAGACTGTCCAGGGAGAGAGGTGAAGTGTAGACAGGCCTAGGACCTTGAGGACAGTAAAAGCTAAAGGATGAGCGCAGCAGAGAAACTCAAAAGGTGACTGATGAGTAGCACAGAGAGGAAAGATTTATATAGTTTTATACAAAGTATTTATATATTTGTTATTGTAGTTTCCTTGTGTGACATAAATCATCTTTGACGCATAGGCAAAAATCTATTTCTACATCTCATTTGAAAAGTACTCATTTTGTAGAGTAAAAAAGCATGTGTATTAGAATCCAAAGATCTAATTTAAGGGATATATAATCAAGAACTCTGAGTGTATGAGAGAAAACTCAATTATGCTGACCCAAGGGAGTCAGAAAGGTCTCCTGTCTTCAAGGTGGGCTACAACACAGCTGACATGAGAAGAAACGTATTCACTAGCCTGATGAATGTGTACATAAGCAAATTTCAGACTGAATGAATAAGATTTGTTGACGCATGGTCTCCACCTTTTCACCTGTAAAAATGAGTTAAAATCTATCCTGTTTAGCTATTCTAGGGATTAAATAAGGAAAACACATAACTCATAAATTAAGGCTTCTAGTACATGATAAATGCTTATTTTTTTCAAACTGTCGTATATTTCTTTTGTTAGTTATTATATAAGTTTGCTATTACTTATCTCATCACATGTATTCTTAGATTATATAGATTATATATGTCTATTGAAGGCAAGAACCTGTGAGAATTTGTAATTCTTAAATCTATGAAACTAAAGGTTGATAATGTTCTGTCCTTCACATGTTACAGAGCTTTCAGAAGATGTTAAAGTTACAGTATCTCCTTCTTTCCTCACAACTTTCTATATTATTATATATACTGTCTATCATTATAAGGTTTGAATTGTGCAGGAATTAGTCTTAAAGGACTTTAACTTAAGTGGTTTCAATTGAACTCAGAGCAATAGTTTTCTAAAGAAAATATTACTTCTCCTAAAGAGGCTGCTGTTTTAGTAGCTATATAATAGAAGCAGAGTGAAACTTTATGGTTAAATGGTTCAGTTTTACAGTTATTTCTTTGTCTAATACCTGAATAGCTGACTGTTGTCATCAAGATTTTCCGTCCCCCATTTGCCTTTGATATCTTCAATTACATGATTCTTAAGAAATTTTCTCAAGAGCTGGATAGTCTGTTGCCTTGTAACTTCAGGACCAAAATTGCTATTAGTTCTTAACAGGTCATAAAGCCAGTCCACTGCTTCTCCTGCTGTAAAACAGTTGCCATATTTTTTGAAGTGTTGCCTATGTTTTCTTAGGGGCATTCCCACTCGAAAAGATGTGGTAATTTCATTCCACTGTAAAATGAAAAAAAATAAAAATAAAAAAAATTCACTCATTCACATATTATTAAATCATTGAAATTCATGAAGAAATCATTTGTCTTATTTGTGCTAAAAATTTTTACATCTCATACTGATTTCTTATTATTAATTACAGTGTTACGAATAATGCAGAACTGTAATGAACCTGCCTTTAGTCCTCAACAGAGAAAGCATTTATTCCTGTTTCTACAACTTCAACTAATTTTGATATGATAGTAGCATTTGTATCAGACACTATGCATTACATTCATTATTTCACTTTAATTCTCACAATTCAATGAATGGGTACTATTATTATCCCATTTTCAGATATGGAATATGAAGCACTGAGATATTTAATAACTTGACCAAGGTCACACATCTGAAAACCAGGCATTGGATAAACTCTAGAACCTGCACTCATAACTAAGCAGGGCAAACAAAACTTAACGGCAGGCAGTAGTTTTACTGGTAAAACTTTTTACCTTTAGTTTTACCTTTAGTATTAAAAAAGTTTATATATTTACTAGTGGAGATTCCAATAATGAACATAACAGATGGACCAAATTAAAACATAAGTCTATTGTTTGTTTAATGATACTGTGATATATCTACATTTTAAAAAGATGATCACACTTTCAAAAATCTTTTTCAAATTACCCAAACTTTTGGCTTTGTGGCAGGTCTAAGAGTGGTGATATAGAAGGTTGTGGTGATAAACGTTTTTTATTGGAGTACAATTGCTTTACAACCTATGTCAGTTTCTCCCGTACAGTGAAGTGAAGCAGCTATATGTGTGCCTATATCTCCTCCCTCCTGGACTTTCCTCCCACCCGCCCCCTATACCACCCATCTACGCCAACACAGCAGCAAACCGAGCTCCCTGCGTTATACAGCAGGTTCCCACTAGCTATCTATTCTACACTTGGTAGTTGGGCTTCCCAGGTGGCTCAGTGGTAAAAGAATCCGCCTGCCAAAGCAGGAGATGGAGGTTCAATCCCTGGGTCGGGAAGATCCCTAGAGGAGGAAGTGGCAACGTGCTCCAGTATTCTTGCCTGGAGAATCCCATGGATAGAGCCTGACAGGCTGCAGTCCACAGTGTTGCAAAGGGTTAGACATGACTGAGCACGCCCAAATTTATATATATATATATATATATATATATATATATATGTCAATCCTAATTTTGCAATTCTTCCCACCCTCCCTTTGTCCACACCTCCATTCTCTATGTCTGTGTCTCTATTCCTGCCCCAGAAATAGGCTTCATCTGTATCTTTTTTCTAGATTCCACACATATGGGTTAATATAACAATATTTGTTTTTCTCACAGACAGCTCATAGAGCTCAATATCAAAAAACAAACAACCCAAGTCAAAAAAATGGGTGGAAAGCCTAAAAAGACATTTCTTCAGAGAAGACATACAGACGGCCAATAAACACATGAAAATATGCTCATTGAAAATGGGCTTCCCTTGTGGCTCAGGTGGTAAACAATCTGCCTGCAATGCAGGAGACCTAGGTTCAATCCCTGGGTCGGGAAGATTCCCTGGAGAAGAAGGCATAGAAATGGCCCATGAACACATGAAAATATGCTCAACTTCATTAATTACTGCTGCTGCTAAGTCGCTTCAGTAGTGTCCGACTCTGTGTGACCCCACAGACGGCAGCCCACTAAGCTCCGCCTGGGATTCTCCAGGCAAGAACACTGGAGTGGGTTGCCATTGCCTTCTCCGCACTAATTACTAGAGAAATGTAAATCAAAACTACACTAAGATATCACCTCAAACCATCAGAATGCCCATCATCAAAAAAAAAAAATCTACAAACAATAAATGCTGGCGAAGGTGTGGAGAAAAGGGAACTTCTTGCACTGTTGGTGGGAATATAAGCTGATACAGTAAAGTGGAGAACAGTATGGAGATTGCTTCAAAAACTAAAAATAAAACTACCATATGATCCAGCAATCTCACCAGTGGGCATATGCCCTAAGAAAACCATAATTCAAAATGACACATGTACTCCAATATTCATTGCCACATTATATTCAATAGCTAGGACATAGAAACAACCTAAATGTTCCATGACAGAGGAAAGAATAAATAAGACATGGTACATAGAGAGGAATACATAACTTTTTAATTGAAAAAAATCCTACTGTAAGTCCAACTATGTTACTACTTGTTATGCTACCAGTTCTCTAACCTATGTGGTCCCAACATCATAGCACAAAATTTTCAGGGCTGAAAACACAATAACTGTTCTTTTCTTTATACACCTCCACATTTCACATATTATTTAAGAAACTTATATTGAGCTGCGGTTTATACAGAGAATAAGTTGTCTGTTATTCTACAGATAACAACACACTTTCACCTACAGTAATATCTACTCTGGACAACTCTCCTAATGTCACATAACCAGTGGCACGGTATCCTCGGGGACTGATGATTCACCAAATACACAAAACACTGTGCGCGAGTACAAATCCTGTGACTACCAACAGTGGCTCCTCATGGGTACTTAAAATATTCTGAGTTTAGTTATGAAATAGCTGGTATTGAGTGGTATTCAGTCGATACAACCTGTATTTAATTCCACAGGACCGGCAAAATGAAGCTGTCACTATGTGATCCTACAAAACACTGGAACTCGTTCTAAATTCCCCTAGAATCCTGTTGGGGGTACAAAATCTGGCGTGAGGAGCGTCTAAACTCAGAATATTCTAAGTCATTCCAGGGGATGCCGAAAACACCAAGAACAGAGTCGATTAAGAAGTTGGGTCGATGCGCCTACCCTGGAAGCCTGGAGCAAAGGAGGGGGGCAGACTCTCAAAAGAGGGGGACAAGCGTGTCCTACAAAGGGCCGCGATACCCGAGAACTCCCCTCACCCTCCTCTTCAGCGATCTCCTGGGCTGTGGGGCCCATCCCTCCGCACTAGGAAAAACTATGAACCTTCACGTAAAACCGGCCATCACCCCGCTGGCCAGTCTCGTCGTTCGCGCTGTCTTACCAGCTTGGTGGCCCGATAAGGGCCGGGAGGCACATCCCGATTCTCCATTCCGCCCACCGGGCCCAAGGGTCCCTCAGCGCCCGGTGCCCGACATGGCAGCGGAAGGCGACACAGGCTCCCACAACCGTCTGCCCCGCCGTTGATTTGAATACCGCCGAGGGCTACGTTGATTGGCTGAGCCGTTTGGCCACGTGACGCACCGCCCTGGCCCGGCCGCAGAGGGCGTGGGCTGTGGACTCTCTCCAGGTTGCGGCGCAGGCCGGCTTGGCTGAGAAGAGCTGATCTCCCTCCCAGGAGGGTGAGACGGGCTCCTGACCTCACCTGGCTTCTCTGAAGTTGCTTGTCCGTCTTGCGGTCATTGGCGAGGCGGAGTCATGCTTCCACACTCAGAACGGGTGAGGCGGTTTATTCCCCTACAGGATGTTTGGAGCCCAGCGTTTGGCTTAAAGGAATTTGAAATTTGGAAGGAAAAAAACGAACAGACACAAGCCTTTTCTGCCTGGTCCCGCAGGGTCTCACGCAGTTGGTTAGCAAGTGAAACAAATCTGGGGCGTAGCTTTCACCCTACTGACAGATTGGTTTTGCTTTTAGGAAGCTTTCTGGGTATAAGGACCACAATTCCATCTTCCCCAGTGCTGAAATGTAAGTTAACCGCCCCCCCCGGTTAATTGGGTTGTGAAATGGAGCTTAGTAGTTTTCCGTCAGTATACGGCTTGTGAGAGGTGATGTAAAACTTGCCAAATTGCTTCCCTTAAAAATCTATCTCTTCAGACGAGAATCCTGGTTTTATTTAAATCATGGATATACAGAAACTAAAGTTCCCAGAAGTTTCTCAGAATCTCAGGTCCTGTTGGCAGATCTCAGACTTCGTACATTTAATAAACGTTCTATCACCAGTTTGAAACTGTTTGGTGGTGGAAGTCCCTTAGTTCAGACTCTGAGAAATTACCTGAGTGAATTGAAGCCGTGGAAGAATTAATTTGGAAATTAAACGACAATTTGAAAGGATAGACCATAGTAAAAAGAGAGGTAAGAGAAAATTTTTTAGGGAGAAGTAGTATAATGGTGTGCAGAGTTTACTTATTGCATTTCGGATTATTTCGTTGGAGATACATATCTTTTCTGAACAGACCAATGGATTGGAATTTTCAAAAAGCTCTTAGTGGATAGGAATAATCAACTTAGTTTTGCATTTGTGTTAAGGAAAACAAGTACAGTGATAGATATTACAAAATAGTGTTAACCATTTTTAAAATCTGGCTTTATGACACATTGTTCTAGGGTTTTCTTTTTTGTTTCCTGTTTCCCTTCAGAATGAAAGAAGAAGAGAATGTGGAAATCAAAATGTAGTTTGCATTTTTTGTCTGGCCTTCTAGTTGAGCATTATCTTATATACAGCCTTCGGGATGAGTAGCCACAGCCTAATATTACCTGTTTTTATGTAATATTACCTGACAGGGGATACCATTAATGCACAAAATTAATTTCAAATTATAAAGCTTCATCTGAAACATTATAAAAGGTAACAATAAAAGTGGGCTTCCCTGGTGACTCAGTGGTAAAGAATCCGCCTGCCAGTGCAGGAGACTTCTTTGCTCCCTGGGTGAGGAAGATCCCCTGGAGAAGGAAATGGCAACACACTCCAGTATTCTTGCCTGGGAAATCCCATGGACAGAGGAGCCTGGTGGGCTACAGTCTACGGGGATGCAAAAGAGCCAGCCTCCTCTTAACGACTAAACAACAGCAACAACAAAACAATAAAAGCACATCTAAATTTTTTGTAAGAAAATGGTTGGAGGAGTTCTGAAAAGGTGTGTAATAAGATGTAGGTGTCACATCTTGAGAAGACCTCTGAGACTCTTATTTAGTGACTTCCATATTGTTTGTGGGCTCACTCTGTATCACCTACCCTCCTCTGACCATTTCTTTAGATAAGAAAATATGTAAAAGTCAAGGTTTTGTCAAACATGGGTGGTTTGGCTTTTGTTAAGATGACTTTACATATCTTTGCTCTGTGAAAGTGAAGTCACTCAGTCGAGTCCCACTCTTTGCGACCCTGTGGACTGTAGCCTACCAGGCTCCTCCGTCCATGGGATTCTCCAGGCAAGAGTACTGGAGTGGGTTACCATTTCCTTCTCCAGGGGATCTTCCCAACCCAGGGATCGAATCTGGGTCTCCTGCATTGGAGGCAGACGCTTTAACCTCTGAGCCGCCAGGGAAGCCCTCGTTGCTCTTAGCACCTGTTTATTGATTTCATACTTTGATTCTTAGAAGTAATTTTTTATTTCTCTCATTACCAAGATTTTAAGAGTCACTTTATCATCTTTTCCTCATTCTTTGACATCAGAATGTCTCACATGGGTTATAAACCACCTGCATTTGGATTACTTGAGATATCTGTTAAAATGCAGATTCCTTAGCTTCCCCAAACAGTTTTGGGGGAGTGTTTGTGTGTGGTTGGGCATGGCAGGATAGTACAAGGTGCATTCTTAAGAATGGAGGAGTCTGAGTTCTCTGAAGATTTCATGGAGCTGATCTGCTAAAATGCCCCTAGACTTCCTACCTGTGGACTTATATGTGTAAGAAATAGTCCTCTGTTAATTTACTTTTGTGGCTGAACCTAATGATAATTGACAGAATGAATATCACAAAGTAAAATGAAATGAATGCATCATCTCTTAAATATGAAGAGACATAAAATACAATGAAACAAATTTTTCCACTTTGACAGAGATTATCTGTCTTGGTAAGTTTTCACCTCTTGCCTTGCAGTTTTATTTTTTAAATTAAAAAATTGAATTTAGATTGTAGTTTGTTCATTGCTCTATCTCTAGCTGCTGCTGAACAGTACATAGTAGTAACTTAATAAATAATTGGTGAACAGATGAGATCTTTTTTATCACTAAAGGAAAGTTTATATATAGGTGGTATAAGTAAATTATCTTTCCTAGGAAACATTTTATGAAATCTTTCTGCATATTTGTCAGTTATCCTTGAAATTTAGCCATTCCACTATGCTATGTTTAGAGTTTGAGTTCATGAGTATTGACTAATATTTGGTATGATCTGAGAAAATTTCCAGTTCTCTTATATTGCTCCAGTTTGTTTTCCTCCTTGCTTTTGAAACTAGTATTATTGATTATTTTATTTCCTGGCACTATATTCTTTTTCTTAAGTCCATCATCTTATAATTTTCATTTTATTATTATTTTCCCTTTAAGTTCTGAGAGAATTCTTCCAGCTGAGCATTGAATTCATTGGTCCAATTTCCTTTACTCTGTCATGTATTACACGCTATGCTTAGTTGCTCAGTCGTGTCCAATTCTTTGCTTCCCCGTGGACTGTATAGCTCACTAGGCTCCTCTGTCCATGGAGATTCTCCAGGCAAGAATACTGGAGTGGGTTGCCATGTGCTCCTCCAGGGGATCTTCCCAACCCGGGGATCGAACCCAGGTTTCCCACATTACAGGTGGATTCTTTACCGTCTGAGTTACATAGTAACTCACTCTAAAATGCTCCAAAAGGATGCTCGTCTTTGAGCTGCTGGTGTTTTAATTGTGTGCATTAATTTTCTTTATGTATTCTTATAAAAGACTTTTTTGAAAATTTACTATCAGTAACTGAGATGAGTCTCAGTGAAGGCTGGATCAGTCAGTTCAGTTCAGTCAATCAGTTGTGTCTGACTCTGCAACCCCATGGACTGGAGTCACACCAGGTTTCCCTGTCCATCACTAACTCCCAGAGCTTGCTCAAACTCATGTTGCATCGAGTCGGTGATGCCATCCAACCATCTCTTCCTCCATTGTCCCCATCTCCTCCTGCCTTCTATCTTTCCCAGCATCAGGGTCTTTTCCAATGAGTCAGTTCTTCACATCAAATAGTCAAAGTATTGGAGTTACAGCTTTAGCATCAGTCCTTCCAATGAATATTCAGGACTGATTTCCCTTATGATTGAGTGGTTTGATCTCCTTGCTGTCCAAGGGACTCTCAAGAGTCTTCTCCAACACAGTAGTTCAAAACATCAATTCTTCAGTGCTCAGCTTTCTTTATGGTCCAACTCTTACATCCATGCATAACTACTGGAAAAACCATAGCTTTGATTAGATGGACATTTGTTGGTAAAGTAATGTCTCTGCTTTTCAGTATGCTGTCTAGGTTTGTCTTAGCCTTTCTTCCAAGGAACAGGTAACTTTTAATTTCATGGCTGCAGTAAACCATCTGCAGTGGTTTTGAAGCCCCCCAAAATAAAGTCTGTCACTGTTTCCATTGTTTCCCCATCTCTTTGCCTTGAAATGATGGGACCTGATGCCATGATCTTAGATTTTTGAATCTTGAGTTTTAAGCTGCCTTTTTCACTCTCCTCTTTCACCTTCATCAAGAGGCTCTTTAGTTCCTCTTTGCTTTCTGCTATAAGAGTGGTGTCATCTGCATATCTGAGGTTATTAACACTTCTCCCTGAAATCTTGATTCTAGCTTGTGCTTCATCCAGTCTGGCATTTCTCATAATGTACTCTGCATATAAGTTAAATAAGCAAGGCGACAATATACAGCCTTGACATACTCCTTTCCCAATTTGGAACCAGTCCCTTGTTCCATGTCTGGTTCTAACTTGTTTCTTGACCTGCATACAGATTTCTCAGGAGACAGGTAAGGTGGTCTGGTATTCCCATCTCTTGAAGAATTTCCCACAGTTTGTTGTGATTCAAAAAGTCAGAGACTTTAGCATAGTCAGTGAAACCGAAGTAGATGTTTTTCTGGAATTCTTTCACTTTTTCTATGATCCAACGGTTGTTGGCAACTTAATTCCTTGTTCCTCTCCTTTCCTAAATCCAGCTTGAATATCTGGAAGTTTTCTGTTCATTTACTGTTGAAGCCTAGCTTGGAAAATTTTGAGCATTACTTTGCTAGCATGTGAGATGATGCAGTTGTGTGGTAGTTTTAACATCCTTTTGCCCTGCCTTTCTTTCAGATTGGAATAAAAACTGACCTTTTTCAGTCCTGTGGCCACTGCTGAGTTTTCAAAACTTGCTGGCATATTGAGTGCAGCACTCAATATCATCTTTAGGATTTAAAATAGCTCAGCTGGAATTCCTTCACCTCCACTAACTTTGTTCTTAGTGATGCTTCCTA